ATATATATATATATATATATATATAAGAATTAATAAAAAGTAAATGATTATGACCAAATTAATAATTATACTTTTGTTGTTTAATCAAATTTATATATATAAATTAAAGATATTATTATTATTATTTGAAGTTTTATTTTTGGTTTAGCTTTATAAGATTTAATAGTTTAAGAATATTTTGTTAATATAAATGTCTTTCACAATTTATTCAAATGATATATTTTTATATATCCATATAAATAATTATTAATCTTGACTTTTTTCTTTTGGCTAAGCTAAAGGAAAATTTTATTAAAAATATCAAAATTGTTACAAATATCCAACCAAATTAAGTAAAACAGAACACACAAAAAATAATAAACCCTGCAGAAATTGTATCAACAGCACATGAAGGATCAAAAAATGTAGATAACAACATTCCCAACACTCAAAAAATATATAAATCAATAATAAAAATCTTGACTATTTAAAACTGAATCTTGCTTTTTGATTGAACAAGAAAGAATGAGTACAAATTTTTCATTGTTTAGTAAATGAATTGAAAAAAATAATTTTTTATGAAAAAAATTTTTTTATAATTCTTTAAAAATTTACAAAAGTTCAGGAATGAGTATTATAATATGCATAGACTATTATTTAGTTGTACTTAACATTTATGAATTTATGATTATATATAATAAGTCAATAAAATTTTACATTTTTTATTAAAATAATATAAAATTTTAAAGTTAATAAAAAAATAATTTTTAATTATAAAAAATAATAATAAAGTTTCGCGCATGACACGGATTAAAAAAGGTAATTTTTTAGATATTTCTACATTTTTTGGGCCTAAACCACATATCAAGATATTTATTTATTTTTGCTTTCTCTTTCCTTCTTTCTTTTTCTTTCTTTCTTTCTTTCTTTCTTAGTTATTTTTTTTCTTTAATATTTAAGAAATATTTTTAAAACATTTTAATTTTTTTAAATTAGATAATTATGTAAGAAAATAATATTAACATAGATATGAACGTGACATATAAATTTAGCTTTTTGATTCTTTTTTACTTTTTTAAAATTCATGACATAATTTTTGCCAAAAAATTTCATCATTAAAAATGTTGTGTGGCAACTCAACTTTTTTTCTTTTTTGCTTTTTGTATTTTTCTTTTTTTGTATTTTCTTTTTTTAATTAAATCAAAATTTTTATAAAAAATCCAATGGATGGGTCCATGTGGCATAACATTTTGGTTTTTTTTTTCTTTTGTCTTTATTTGTTAATTAAATAAATATTACAATAAAAGAAATCGATGAATTAATTTTTTAAGAAAAAAGTCATTGGATGTATGGATAATAAAAAAAATTCATATCCAATAAGGATTGGTTCATTTTAATCTAATAGGTTCTTTTGGATCGAAGTTTTTTTTTTTTTTTCAAAAAATCAAAGTCATTAAAATGCAAGTTTAATACATTTCACTTTGCCCAAGTATATATAAACATATTTTATTATTTATTTAACATTATATTTATATATATGTATTATATTAATAAAGTAATTATTTAATACCTTAATTTAATAAATACATATGCCATAACTATTTGGTTTCTTTTTCTTTTCTTTTTTTTGGTCATTTACTTTGTTTTTTTTTATTTTTTATTTTTAATTAGACAAATTTTGTAAGAAAAAATCAATTGATGTAGGAATGACAAAATAACCCATATCCCATGGGTTTTAATTTTCTCTGATCTAATATGTGTGAGTTTTTAAATTCAAGATTGGGTTGATGTTTTTTTTTTTTTTTAAATTGTAGTTGGGTTGGAAGTGGGTTTAGGGTATATTCTCTTGTCCCGAGTATATATGCAAAATTATATTTTTAATTTTTTATTGAATTTTATATTTATATATTATATTAATAAAATTATTATCCTTAATTTAATAAAAATCTTATATTTATTCATAATTAAGATTTAATCCATCCATCCATTAATTTATTATATAAATTTTACTCATTTTATTTTTTGTCTTACATTCATTTAAGGTATTAACATAGCACCTTAAGGTTTTATTTTTCATTTTTTTAATTTAAATAAATTTTTTAAAAAAATAATGAAGGTATTCACATAACACCTCAATTTAATTTTTTTTACCTTTTTTCAATTAGATAATTTTTTGCAACAAAATGTGTCGATGAATAAGGATGACGAAATCATTTATATCCGATAGATTTCGATCCGATCTGATATAATAAACAAATAATTTTTTATATTAAATCGAGTTAAGATAATTTGAATTTTTTTAAGAAAAAAGAATTTTGGTTGGTGATGAGTTTAGTGGCACTTTATCCCAATTCACCTAAAGGTATATATAAATGTATATATTTTAAAATCAATAATATAAAATTTGCTTTTTTTTTTACCTTCACGTTTTAATCCCTTTAACTTATTTTTTTTCTTTTTTTTTTCTTCATATTAATAAAGAATACTTTTTTATTTATGATGGGATTCATTTGATGTTACTAATTAAAAAGATTTTCTTTGCCTTCTTTATTTATTTTATTATTTTTTTAATTTAAATAATTTTGCAAAAAAAATATCGAATGAGATATCTACATAACATTTGAAGTTGGTTTTCTTACCTTTTCTATTTTTTTAGTCTTTTAAAACTTTTTTAGTTTCTTTTAAATTAAAAAAAAAATTTGTAGCAAAGGGATAATGTAAATGTTTACATGGAACTCTATTTTAATTTTTTACCTTTTGTATGCTTGAATTCTTTTTCTTTTCTACTTTAGCTTTATGTATATACATATATATATATATATATATATATATCTTGCACATCTATCAATACAATAAATTGTTTTTTTCTTTTTTTATACTTTTGCTTTTTTATTTTTTTATTTTTTAATTAGATAAATTTTTTAAGAAAATGATATCAATTGATATATCAACGTAGCACCTTCATTTGTTTTTTTTCCCTTTTATATTTTATATACATTTTTTTGTGTATTTTAATTATATAAAATGAGCCGATTGATATGGATAGCAAAACAATCAATATTCTATGAGTTTTGATTTATTCCAATTCTATATGAACATTTTTGTTAAAAATTGATCTCAAGTCATGTAAGCTCGATTTTTTTAAAAAAGGCAAAAATAAATTTAAAGCGAATTTAGGGTGCTCTACCCAAGCCATTCTATGGTATCTATAAAATATATATTTTACTATCTATTTAAATTTACATTTACATAATAAAGTTATTATTTAAATTTTTTTTATTTAACGACAATGGGTTAGTGGGTTGCGTCCAATATATCCCTTATTCGAGCTACTCTAAGTGAATGCATTTGCAACTTTAATTTAAAATATTAGCATTTTAAACTCAATTTAGATATTCCAAGGTTATTAATATCATATTGAATAACGTTTTAGTTTTTTTTTTAAATATAATATATATGGATATCAGTTATTTAGATATATTATTTTGAATTTTTTGGTTTAATACAAATACATTTATAAATATACATGAATTTGCATATTATAATATTATTAATAATCTACAAAATAAATATACAATATATTAAAAAATAAAAAAAATAAGTTTAAAAGCATAAGAAATAATATCATAATTTTTTTATGATATTTTTAAATATTTAATATGATCATATGATGTTTAAATAAGTATTTTTTTCATATAAATATTAAAATAAAAACAATGAGATGAAAAAAAATTAACCAAGGTTTTATAATTGGTAAATTTTATAAAAGAAGTATAATTGTTTTTTTAAACAAAAATTAAAATACTTATAAACTTAAATTTGAAAAAATAAAATATAAAATATTGGTTTGAAAAATGAAATATAAAAAATAAAAATAAAAATAAAAAATAAAAAAAACTCAACTTTGAAGAGTTATTTTGTTAATTAATTTTATTTTTATTAGGTTAAAAATAGTTAAATAACAAAAGATAAGCTAAAAATTATAAAATATATTTTATATTTACATATCGACTAAAACATATTATTATACTGAAATTCATTGAAACAGGTTAAAATTAACGAAAACAATCGATATTATTTGATACCAAATCTAATATAAAAATTTTTTTTTAAGTGTATCGTATTTTAGTATAATTAAAGTGTACCGACTACATCAAAGATATCTATATGTCATCCCAATGATCTCTTTTTTCTTTGTTTATTTATTATTAATAATAATATTATTTAATATCTTAATTTAAGAGATTAATATTTTAAACTCAATTAGAATGTTTACTTAATAATCCTATAAGCTTTTTTTTTTCTCTTTTCCCTTTTCCCTTTTCCCTTTTATCTTTTTTCTTTTTTTTTTCATTTTTATACCGTTTTAATTAAGTTAATTTTATTAAAAAAGAGCAATGGAGTTTTCACATGCCACTCCTATTTGATTTTTTTTTTCACATTGTTTTCATTTATTACTACATAAAATTTATAACCAAAGATATTAATTGATAGAGATAATAAAATAATCTATATATAATGAGTTTCTATCCATCTTGAAATAATTAAAAACAAATTTTTAAAATCAAAATCGAATTCAAATGGATCAATTCTTTTAAGAAAAATGAAATCGGTTGGTTTTATTTTTCACTTTTAATTAGATAAAACTTTTAACAAAAAAACCAATAAATAAAGGTAACAAAAGAAACAAAATTTCTAAACAACAACAACACATAATTTAAAATAAAAAAATAAAAAAAATCTAAACAACAACAACATATAATTTAAAATAAATATATATTTTTTTGTTTAAGTTGTCCTACAACAGAAGAAGAAAAGAGAGATTAAGGTGGAACATTTAATCTTATGTCTTTTTAAAGTTTGTTTGGTCACTAGGCCAATAATTATATTCTCCGTTTATTCCATTTATAAGTCGGTTTGCCGCGCAACTCTCTCCTATTTTTATCCGTCTCTACCTCTTCCATTCTTCCGCCCCCTCCCCCCCCACCCCCAAAAAAAAGAAAAAAAAAAAACTACTACTTTTGTAGGGTTTCTTTTATTTTAGCCTCTACTTTTTATTAATTAATCGATTCAATTAATCAAATTTTTTTCTGGGAAATCATCATTATTTCGTTCCATTTTTGTGGCAATTTTTTGTGGGGGGAAAGTTGGAATGTGAGAAGCTTCGTTATGTTAAAGAAGCAAAGCAGCAGTGTTCGTTTCTTGTTCAACCAAATCTCTAATTGTAACCGTAACGGAAAAGATCGTTTCATGGCGTTTTCAGCTCGAAACGATCCGTTTTTCAGACAACTCCACACGTTGCCCAACGACCAACGCCGTTGCTTCCAATTCCACGGCAAACTCGACTCGTTTGAACATTACAATGTCGGCGGCGGCGGTTTTAAGTTTAACAAACCCGCCGCTGGCTTAAATTTGACTCTCAAAAGTTGTTTCGAGGATTCATGTCCAACCTGGAATCAGAAAACACGCGCCTTTTATCCCCAATTGGCGCGTGATTTAGAAATGATTAGCCATAATGAACCCCCAAAACTGGCGAAGTCGGCGACTGATAGTCGTGGCGCGTGTCAACGAGGGAATCCTCTTAATTTTGCCGACAAGCCTTTGCCTGAAAAAATTGCTGTTGCTGTCGACGTCGACGAAGGTACAACTTTGTTTTTTACCAATTATACGCCTTTTGGAAATTTTTGGTATTTTTCTAATGCTAATATTGTTTTTTCCTTGTTTCTCGTATAAGCAGTGCTAGGAAACTTTGTGTCGGCTTTGAACAGATTTATAGCGGATCGTTATTCGTTGAATCATTCAGTTTCAGAGTACCATGTTTATGAGTTTTTCAAGGTAAGACTAAAGAAGTGAAGAAGTCAAGATAATTGGTACTTTTTTGGTGGTACGAGTCAATTAGTGTTGAATTTTAGTTAAGTGGAATCAAAGAGGATCAGCACTAATTTTGCATGAAAGCGAAGACCAAAAGAAGGAAAAGAAAACTTGCTCTTCCCTGAGGACAGGAAAGCTGCAAGGTCGCGGGAAGACCCAAAAAAAAAAAAGCAGAAGGCCAATTTTTGTGCCATGAAGATATTTGATATGCCTGGTGTTAGCTGCTAGCTAAGGTTCTAATGGGTTTTTAGCAGAGTCCAGTCTTTTGTATCGTTTTGCGTGTGAATGGTTTCTATGTGAATTCTGCTTGCCATTCGCAATACAAGTTATGTTAGTATTGGTGTTGTTCCGTTTAATATCATGAGATGTAATTGCCTCCATGTTCAGATTGCTCTAACATACTTGATAGTTTACTCTGTGGTTGGGTCTTTCCTCTTTAGTAATTTTACTCGTGTTGTTCTTGTAGTTTTCTGCTTTCGGTAGTCAGCTGTTGTTCGGATGTTGGTTTTGTTTCTTTAATATGTATTCTAATACCTCTTTTTATTTTTTTTACAGATATGGAACTGTTCTCGTGATGAAGGTATCACTAGACATCATGATTGATTCCTTTGTGGATAATTTGTTAAATTCATGAGACAAAAAGCATTCAGTAATATGCTACTACTGCTATATTAAAAATTCATCAAATTCTTAGTATAAATTTCACTGGAATCTGGCTGTTTGTTTTGGATGAAAGGTCAAGGTTCATTTGCTTTTAATGATTGCAAAAAAAGTTATCAACCTAGGTGGAGTCTTTTGTGGGTTTGTTCTTTGATATTCCAACTTTAAATATATAGACAAAGTGGATCCCTAATAGAAAATGATTTATGGAATATTTTTCGTTGGAAAAATGGAAAAGCTATCAGATTTAAGTTTAGTATGTATCAATGGTAAATTTTGTGCAAACTTGCTGATGGTTCAACATTTTGCAATGCTCTCATTGTTTAATAGAGTATTGAATGTTTTCTTATCCTTTCTGAAAAACTTTCAATCATTTGGAGTTTCTTTTGTTATTCTTGTTTTGACAGCTGATATTCGTGTCCATGAGTTCTTCAAGACACCATATTTCAAGAAAGGCATTCACCCCATCCCAGGTGCTCAGAGGGCGCTTCATAAGTTATCAAGATTCTGTAACCTGTCAGTCGTAACGTATGTATGCATGTATTCTTCCTTAATAATGCCTTTACTTCTGACCTGTGCACTAATCTGGTCTTTCGTATATGAATGAGTAGGTCTCGACAGAATGTGATTAAGGACCATACAATTGAGTGGTTAGACAAGCACTATCCTGGACTGTTCCAGGAGATTCACTTTGGCAACCATTTTGCTCTTGATGGCGAGTCCAGACCTAAGTCAGAAATATGCCGGTATGCCCATAAGACCTTTGGCCTTAATGCTTCTGGATTCTTTTATTAGTCAGCTTTCTTTTCTTTCATCCTGTAACCCTTAAATAATCTAAAGTGCAATGATTTCTTTATTTTTATGATGCCAGTGTACCGGCATCTTTTTTGAGATAATTGCCTTGATAAGCTTTTAATTCCTCAGAGAAACTAATTGCTGACAAGTTTTCTTGATGAGTTGTTTCTCTTGCAGGTTGTTAGGAGCCAAGGTGCTAATTGATGATAACCCAAGATATGCTGTTGAGTGTGCTCAAGCTGGAATCAGAGTTCTACTTTTTGATTATGAGAACTCGTATCCTTGGTGCAAGACAGAGTCAATTGATCAACATCCTTTGGTGACTAAAGTACATAACTGGGAAGAAGTGCAGGAACAAATAGCGTCTTGGATTCGTAATTCTACTACCCTTAAAGATGGACCCTGAACATTTGATAATGCCGAAAAATTTGGGCTAATTTTGTTGTTGGTGAATCAACCATAATGAGACCTGCCAAATTGGGAACATGGTTGTATTGATTGGCTTTGAGGACAAAATTGGAAGGAATGTGGGTGGAATAATGCATTTCTTATATTTCATCTTGGCATACAAGATGAAGGAAAAGCAATTGCTGAATGCCCTAGAACATCGATTCATTAGAAGTTCATGAGATTGGAGGTTACTTCAATTACACTCAAGAAACAACAGTTTCTTTTTAGCAATGCCCAGTCCAGTTTGAGTTAGGGAAACAATAGTGAGGTCCAATTTTGGTGAGGTTAGAGATTATTGAGTTGCTCAAGTAGATCCAATATCCAACTTTGAGAAAGGTCTTCTCCAATTGTAGTATCATCTAGTTTTGTGCTTGTTTGTACTGAGATTCTGATAACTATAATTTTGATCATGCTTAAATTACTATATATTGTTTTTTTTTTTTTTTGGTTGTTTACTTATAATAATGCTATTATGTACCCATTTTAAATAATAAACAATAAAGTAATTTGAGAAGATCAAGATACTTTTTTATTGGATAAAAATGCAAAATGATATACGCATTATCTGTGTGAATGTTTTATTTTAGAATAATTACAAAGCCCTTTGGGGGTAATAGATTGGTATTATCCAGCCCTTTTGTGGTTTTGCAAAGCAAACTCAATGGGATAATCGAACCAATCCGGATCATCATCTTCTCCTGATTTGGAAGTTCTGGTTTAAAAACCACCATTTGTCCGCAAGAACATATAAAGGACATCTTGAGAAATGATCACTCAGTTTTCTCCATCAATTTAATACCATAGGCTTGAAGAATATCCAAAGCTGCCACGACCAACGGTGATGGATGATATAATGGACCAATGCAAGAAAATATATGCATAATAACATTATGGTGAAAATTACCTGGTACATATACTTCAGGTTGAATAGGCCTCAACACACCTGGTGTTGTGATCTTGTTTACAAGTAAAAGCTGAAACCACGGAAATGAACAAAAATCAAGTTCAAAGCATTTTCAATCATTCGGGATTGGGGGTAGAAGAGATATATGTCAAAGTACCAGAGCTCCAATTGCTACCGGAACACCGACAGTAAGGGCCATAGCAGAGGTCATTTTCCCATTCTTAGCCTTCCCAAATTCCAATAAAGTCGCAGTATGATGCTCTGTATGTTGGCTATCTGGGAAATCTACCTCCACTTCATGATGCAACAAAACCATATCCTGAGGATTAAAATTCACAACTTTCGAAAATTAATGTAATTTTTTCTGATCAAATAGGTTTCTGTCATTGATGAGTAATGTACCTGTTCTGTGCGGGAATATGCTAGCTTTTCTTCCATGCGGTGACAGGTTACAGCAAACGCACTGTGGCAGGAAACAGGAATTTCTGTCCGCTCGAGTAGTCCCAAAAACCTGATTCATTTTCGATTGTTAAGTCATTATATTATTACCTTTGGATTTGGGTAGTCAAAAGAATAGATAAGTGATATCAGAATGTGAACTAGGGTTACATAATAGTTTTGGCAGCCTTTACTGCAGCTCCTCCATCCTTGCAATGTCCAAGTTTTACAATCCTTTCAGTTATCTCCTTCTCTCCAATTACAGCTTCATCCATTGCTTCAGTATCAATTTTTAGAAGTTTGTATAGGAAAGTTCTAAATGTTGGTCGACTTTCATGTTCAAGAAGTGGATGAGCTTCAGCATTGAATAGACCAATTCTAGCAAGTGTGGCCATTATCTCACTAAAACCTGTAGAAAACATAAAGATGTTAAGACCAAATCTTGAATCATGATAAAGACGTAATAACCACTTTGGAACCCAAAAACACTTTATGATAGTTTGGTCATTTGATCCTCTTTGCATTCAGTCCAAACAGTCAGGTTTCTAGCATTAAAGTTTAAACAGAATAAGAATTGCAAAATTCAAGAGGGACATGCTGTCATGCCTTCATAGCGGAGGGTTCCGCGGAAAATGGTTGATGCTTCATATCCTATTCCATACAACTCCCCATAAATTAATGAGTTACGATTAGGGAGGCACTCCAATGCAAAAGCTGGAAGCTCAGGTATCCGGAATCTCACAGCTGAATAGTAGAGGTCATCCCCTGGAAACATGATTAAGTGAAATAATGAAGATAAATCCATAAGTGAAAACCTGTAAGAAAAGAGACTTTCAAAATCATTTGAGAAAAAGATAAGCAAAAGGAAAGGTTGTAGCCATAACAAATCAATATTACATGAGACTAATATAATTAATCATATACGACAAGTTGTAATAAAGGTAGAGCTATATTCATGTACTAGTGTATAATAGGAAGCTTTATGGGTATAAACACGTAAAACAATTTGACTTGGATTCATACTTCTTTTTCTTTGACATGGTCTGGCATAGCCTAACTCACAACTATCACAAAATTATCATTTTTTTTCTTTAAATCCGGTTGCTGACAGCTTACCATTTACATGCACAGTTTCATCCTGAGATTTGTAAGTGGCAGGATTTTGCCCGGCTCGAATAGCTCCTGCTGGATTCCAACTGAAAAAGTGACTATACAGTCAGGAACTGCCACAGGACTAACATTTGTGAGTTAAAACAATAGTGCTCAACATGAAACTCTAGCGACTAATTTCCATCCATTTATACAAATAATGTCAGTGTGGAAACAATTATTGGGCCTTCTGACCCCAAAACCAAACCAAAAAGGTAAGATGTATGCTTTGGTTAAAATCAAAGCCATAACAGCACGAGAACAGATATGGAACCTGACCATGCAGTTTAAAATAGACTTTAACAGCACATTTTAACACAGTTCCACTTGTTCAGCATTAGAAGATAATTTAATAGAAAGATGAGCATTGGTTCTGAAATTTCATAGGTTGTTTGGGCTCTTGTGGCTCCAGATTTACCTGAATTTATATGCTAATGGATTATTTGCAGCTGCTGGTGATGGGAGCCCTCCACAATAAGAAGTGAAAGACTTTATTTTGCCCTTTCTGACATGTGCTTCGTTGATCATCTTCATTGCCATCATGTGATCTGAAAAGCATGCAGCATGTTAAATCGGTCAGATTACTCTATGAGATGGCCAATGATATGGGTATTCTTACAGAAACACATGCATTATAAAGCAAAACTAACATTCCGAGTAACATACTTGCATGGATAGATTAAAGATTACCTATTCCAGGGTCCAAGCCCATTTCACCAAGAATTGTAATACCAGCATTCTTGGCTTTTTCATCCAGCATTGACATGGAATTGTCAACATAACTTGCTGTGACAAGATGTTTTTTGAGCTGCATAAAGAGATGTTATGATATTCTTAGCTACGAGGAACAAAGAGGAAACCATATTTAGCTGTTCATTAATTGATCATGTATTCAACATCAGACTTCAAGTATTCCCTGCAACAGTACTCTCAACAATTCATCATCTGGTTATTACTTACTTCTTTTGAAATATTTTTGAAATGGTATTTCCCCTTAAATCACTTGCAAGATAAGTTGTATATTCTGCTTTCTTTCTTTTTTTGACATATTGGAAGTTTAGCATCACATTTCAAGGTTCTTCTCATTAAACACGCAAGCAAATTACATTCCTCACTCATCCAACTCCCTCTCTGAAAATTTCTTCCTCGGCTAAATTTAATTCTCTCCTCCACACCCCATTTCTTACTATCAGTAATTTGTTACTGTTTATTCTTATTCTGTTTTGTCCACAAAGGAAATCCTCATAATTTCTTCACATTAAGGAAAATCTTCACTTCTTCTCCTGTGTGTTTGAGTTTAGTTGTTTCTCATAGACTTTATAATTACAAATGTGTTTTTCCTATGTCATCATAGGTTAAGTAGATGTTTCTGTTAGTGTATGCTTGTGTAAGAGTTGGAATATTATGGGAATATTTCCTGGGAGACAGTTTAGGAGGGATTAATTGGGAGCATTAATGTGTAATTTGTAATTGATTCTCTTTCCTTAGTGTTGTCTATATAATGAAAGGCTAATCCAAGGGATTAGCAAGTTGTTCTCTAAAGCCTTAATTATAACAAGGTATCAGAGCCAGCAGCACAACCCCAGCTGCTGTCACCCCCTCTCTCTTTTTTTCCCAAACCCTCTATGATAGCCCTTGCGATGTCACCTAAGCTGTCGCTACTACGGACTTTGATCTTGCAGCCCTAAAGCTGTGTACTTAAAACTTTTCCTTCCTCTTCAGCAGTTCTTCATTAGTTGAAAGGGGGGCTGCCCCCTTATTCTCAAAGGCGGCAAGAAGAAGGGTTGCAACCTCTTTGTGAATGATAGATTAAGGGAAACAAGTTTTTCTCGGTGTAGAGTAGCTGCAGAACTAGGGATGGAATTCCCGGTTGTTAATTAGGGATTGTGTTACCCGGTTGAAAGATTACCAGTTATATGCTGGAGGAAGAAGGTTTTGTGGCCATGGCAAAGGAAGAGGCAACCGCATCAAAGATGATAACTCAGGAGTTTATCATAGACTCACGATTGTCGGATGCGAAACTTGATGGCTCCAACTACTTATCATGGAGCAAGACTGTGTTGGTGACCTTGCGAGGTCTTGGAAAGGCTCAGTTCCTAACAAGTAAGTCACCAGCAAAGGAAAGCTCGGAGCATGCAGCTTGGGAGCAGGAGGACAATTGAGTACTTGGATAATTATTCAACTCTATGTAACGACGAGTCAAGTTGATGTTTAATCAATACTTTACAAGTAAGGAACTTTGGGATACTTTAAAAATTGTTTATGCAAATTCTGAGAATTGGTGGAGGATCTCAGATGTTAGCGAGGCATGGACTAGAATGGAGCAGTCTGATAAGAGCCTGAAGGAATATTTTGCTGCGTTCAAGGAGGTATATGACAAGTTTAATAAACTCATGCCTTTGTCTACCGATTTGAAGACAAACTAGGAGCAACGACAAACTCTAGCTATAGTGTTTTTCTTAGCAGGATTGAGGACGGAATATGCTAGTGCTAGTGTCACGGACCTAAGGAAGAGTCTTGAATCCCACATCGAACATAATAGGAGGGTCCTTGGGGTATAAAAGGGTTCACACCACCTCCGCCTTGGGAGGCGCCTTTTGTAGGACAAAACCGTGAGGCCATGGGGGGCCAGAGTGAACAATACCTCACAAGGGTGTGAACCGTGGCGATCAGGCTGATCTGGGACGCCGGAAGGGTGAATGCCCGGGTCCCGGAGCCGCGCGGGTTCGGAGCTTAAGTCTCGACCCGTGACGAGGTGGTATCAGAGCCAGCCCTATACCGTTCGATCCACGCCGAGCACCTCAAGGGAGGCAAGCAGGGTGGCCAGCCTCCGTGACGAGGGCGTCATGAGGTTGGGTGCGGGAGAATGTCACGGACCTAAGGGGAAGTCCTGAATCCCACATCGAACATAATAGGAAGGTCACTGGGGTATAAAAGGGTTCACACCATCTCCGTCTTGGGAGGCGCCTTTTGTAGGACAAAACCGTGAGGCCATGGGGGGCCAGAGCGGACAATACCTCACAAGGATGTGAACCGTGGCAGTCAGGCTGATCTGGGACGCCGGAAGGGTGAATGCCTGGGTCCCGGAGCCGCGCGGGTTCGGAGCTTGAGTCTCGACCCGTGACACTAGTACTAAGATGTTAGCAGGTAGAGATCCACCTTTTTTACCGGATGATTATAAGTGCCTGAGCAAGATCACTTAGCATGATCCTCTATACGAAGACAGGGCAGTATTTGTGGCCCCATAATGTGCAGGGCGAGCACCACTCGGGGGACATGGTGGACAAGGTAGGACCCAGAAATGGTAAAGGAGCCCATGGTCCTGCTATCATTGTGGACAGCAGGGACACTTACAGAATGTTTGTTCGCAGCTTTGAGGCAATTCTGGCCCACCAGCATGTGACTGATGCTACGTTTCAGTCCCAGCAGCAAGAGGAGAAAGGAGTTCAATTATCTCAGGATGAGTATGACAGGCTTATTCAGATGCTTCAGAATCAGACTTTGATCTCTTTTCCAACAGCAACTTTTATACAAGGTAAATCTACTGCATGCCTGGCTACACCTTCCAGGACTTGGGTGATTGATTCGGGAGTTTCGGATCATATGATGGGTACTACAAGTACTCTTTATTCATATAATCCTATGACTGGGAAACATTCTGTTTTGGTTGCTGATGGAAACTCTATAGATATTGTGGGAAGTGGCAAGGCTTGACCTATATCCAAGTTACCTTTACATTCAGTGCTACATGTCCCTTCTTCTTCTTTTAACTTACTTTCCGTTAGTTAGATTACAAGGAATTTAAATTGTAGTGTTTCCTTCTTTCCTACTTATTGTGTTTTCCAAGATCTATTGACGAAGCAAACTATTGGTAGGGGAAGGATTGAAGGAGGCTTTTATGTGCTTGATGATATACAGAAGATACAGTCTAGATTAATGACATACTGAAAAGAATTGTCACAAGCTTATGAGTCTCATAGTCGTTTTGGTCATCCATCTATGTCACCTTTATGAGCTATGCCTCCTCATTTATCATCTTTTAGTTTTGATTGTGAATTGTGCAAGTTTGCTAAACTGCACAAAGTATCTTATCAACCTCGATTTAATAAAAGAGAAAAGTTTCCTTTTGCTATGATAAATTCTGATGTATGGGGGGCCCTTGTCCTATTATTTCAAAATCTAGCTACAGATACTTTTTGACATTTGTTGATGATTATTCATGAGTTTGTTGGTTGTATTTGTTGCAGAGACATTCCAAATTATTCTCTGTTTTCACTACCTTTCATGCAGAAATAGAGAATCAATTCGATAAGTCTATCAAAATTTTACAAAGTGATAACAGGGGAAAGTATTTTTCTACAGAGTTTGTTCAATTCCTAAATACAAAAGGTATTGTTCATCAGTCCTCGTGTACAGATACTCCACAGCAAAATAGGGTTGCTGAAAGGAAGAATCACCATTTGTTGGAAGTGGCTAGAGCTCTTTTGTTTCAAATGAAGGTCCCTAAGGTGTTCTGGAGTGATGCTACCCTCACAGCATGCTATCTTATAAATCGTTTGCCATCCTTGGTTATTGAAAGAAAAGTTTCTCTTCAAGTATTGTGTCCTAATCATCCCTTATTTCCAATCTCCCTCAAGGGGTTTGGGTGCACATGTTTTGTTCCTGACACTCATCCAGGTCGCACTAAATTAGACGCATGTTCTCTTAAGTGTATTTTCCTAGGTTATTCATATGTCCAAAAAGGGTATCAATGCTCCTTCCAGACCTGGGTTGCTTTATTGTTTCGACAGATGTCGTGTTTCAGGAGTCAATTCCCTTTCCTTCGGTACTATAGTCTCATCCATCATAAGAAGATTTTCTCATCTATCAGATGCATAGCATACCGATCAATGCATCTCCTTCTAAGGCATGCCCATATACTCAATTTGGTTGTACGTACACTACGACCTGTGTAGATCCGCCTATGGAAACTTCCCCTGTTGAGACAATCTCTCTGTCAAGGGATCTACCTCAAGACACTATGGCTAAAGATGTATCGATTACTCTACGGAAAGGTAGCAAACTTGCAGAAATTTTCCTTTATACACGACCTTGTACAAAGGACTTTCTATTCAACTTCAGACTTGTATTGCCACTATTGATGCTATTACTGTGCCCGTACTCTTTGTGATGCTTTTGCAAATTCAGGATGGCATAAAGCTCTGGAGAATGAGATGATGGCCCTAGAGGCCAACCATAAATGGGACTTGGTTTCCTTGCTAGAAGGTAAGCAAGCTATTGGGTGCAAGTGGGTTTACATGACAAAATTAATTCCTAATGGTTCATTTGCTAGATTGAAGGCAAGACTGGTAGCAAAGGGATATGCACTGACATATGGAGTAGATTATTTTGATACCTTTTCACCAGTGACAGATGACATATATTTGCCTATTTCTCAAATTTGCTGCTACACATAAATGGGCATTACATTAGTTGGATGTGAAGAATGCTTTCTTACATGGTGGCTTGACTAAAGAGGTATATATGGAGCAACCACCAGGGTTTGTTGCTCAAGGGGAGTCTAGGAAGGTGAGCCGTTTGCGTAGGTCTCCGTATGGTTTGAAACAATCTCCACGTGCGTGGTTCAGCAAATTTAGTGCAGCTCTTGTTTAGTATGGCATGCAACAGAGCGCGAAAGATCATTCAGTATTTTATATGTTGTAGAGTTCTGGCCTTATATTGTTGAGAGTGTATGTAGATGATATCATCATCACTAGCAATGATGGTGCAGGGATTGACAGACTTAAGATGAATCCGGTTTGAGACCAAGGATCTTAGTCAATTGAAATATTTTCTGGGTATCGAAGTGGCAAGATGTAAAAAGGGAATCTTTGTATCTCAGAGGAAGTATGTGCTGGATATTTTGAGAGATGAAGGCTTGTTCCATGCCAAGCCAAGTGACACACCGATGGATCGAGGTTTCAAGCTTTCTCTAGAAAATGGCACTTTACTTGATGATCCTACACCTTACAGAAGACTAGTGGGAAAACTGAATTACCTGACCATGACAAGACCTAATATATCTTTTCCATTGAGTGTGGCAAGTCAATTCATCGCAACTCCCAGAGATAGTCACTGGAGAGCAGTGATGCGCATCCTCTGATATTTGTTGAGAAATCCTAGAAAGGGAATACTCTATAGTTCTACTAGTGATGGGGGTATTGGAGCCTATGCAGATGTAGATTGAGCGGGCTCTTCCATAGATAGGAAGTCTACATCTGGTTATGCTATCTTCCTTGTGAGTAATCAGGTGTCCTGGAAGAGTAAGAAGCAGCAAGTAGTTGCTAGGTCTAGCACAAAAACAGAGTATAAAGCCATGGCTTGGGCTACAACATAGGTATTATGGATGGTTAAATTCTTAGATGAAATTAGGCTTTCAGTTCAGACCCCTACAGAGTTATGGTGTGATAACTAGGCGGCGATTCATATTGCTTCCAATCCAATATTTCATGAAAGAACCAAGCATATAGAAGTTGATTGTCATTTCATTAGGGAAAAGTTGCAGAATGGAACAATATTATTGAAGCATGTGTGCACAAGGGAACAACTAGCCGCTATTCTTATTAAACTTCCAGTAGTTCGAGTTGACTATATGTGGAGACCAACACCCAACCTGCGAGCTATTGTCCGTTTTGACCCGAAAGTCTCACAGTTTTGTTCCACAAAAAGGCGCCTCGCAAGTTTGGGATTAAGTCTCTACATATATATCATTCCTTATCCACACATCCTTCCGATATGGGATTGGGGGCTTTACACTATATATGTAACAAGCTAAGCATGACTGATATATATACTCCAGCTTAAGTGGGAGTATTAGTGTATGCTTGTGTATGAGTTGGAATATTATGAGAATATTCCATGGGAGACAATTTAGGAGGGATTATTTGGGACCATTAATGTGTAATTTGTAATTGATTCTCTTTCCTTAGTATTGTCTATATGATAAAAGACTAATCCAAGGGATTAGCAAGTTGTTCTCTAAAGCTTTAGGTCTAACAGTTTCAGTATAGCAACAAGCTGGGTTTTGTTTTTAAAGAAAGAAAGAAAATATAAGATAAGATGAGGTAGTAATATGGTGTAATTCTTCTTCTTTTTTTTTTTTGAGAGGGAGAGAAAATAATACTTTTATTTACTAAATATGGTAAAGACACATGTGTTGTATGATATTGTATGAGGTTTGAGAAGGTACACATACCTCAATGCAAACATTTGCTATAACAACATGGCAACTCTGAGGCAACAAACTAACAACGACCTCAACCTGTTCATGGCATGGAAAAATTACGGTAATATAAGACCTTGATCAAGGCCCTGAATCAATGAGGCACACTCAACAAAAGGCTCACCTATCAAAGTAACAAGAAGACCCTACTAAATCAATTATTTGAAATTTCCATGTAAACTGGCATCAAGCATTCAAGTACTGCAAGTTACAGGTTATGCCAATAGGGTTGAAATTTTTTGAGGTCATATTGGAAAAACAACAGTTTTACCAATGTAATTTTATGTAGATATAATCATATATTATCATTTACTATTTGGTTCTTGAAGCATTAAATTATGCACTTATTATTAGTTACTACATGTCACCAAATATATATATATATATATATATATATATATATATAACTGCTCAGAAATGTACCTTAAAGACATTACCTGTGAAATATATTCACAAAGAGATCCATGATCTGTCACATCAAGCTCAACTGCTGTTGCATTTGGAATACCTTGAATTATCTGGCACCAGACCCGTCATTATCAGAACAGAACTTCAATTCAAAGGAATGACATGTGAATAAAGCAAAGTTTAAAACGGCAAAATTGGAATTTCTTAACTGTACCTCTTCTGCATCCTTAAGGTAGAGAGACGCAACAATAACATGAACATCGTTCTGCTCTTCAAAATCAGTTTCAAGGCATGTCTTATACCATTGGCGGGATGAACTGCTTCCTGTTGATGCTAACAACTCAACAGCTGGTTGACAGACCCGGCCTGCACCCAGAATAAGAACCGATTTCCTCCTTTTTGTGTCAAACTCAGTCGTGTCGACAGTCTCCTGGATCTTACCAACCTTCAGGGAAATCTTATTCATTTCTTGACTTATGATTACATGATTTTCACTTGGATTAGCAACAGAAGTTAAAGAATCAATAATCTGATCCAGAACTTCCCTATCATCTGCACCAACCTATCAAAAACAACAAGATGGTTTCTTATAATCAATTTAACCAAGGAGTTCTAACTTGATACCACATGATAAATATCCAATAAAAGAATTTTGAAACAAATAGCTCAAAACTAACCACTTTTCTTGATCTATCTAGAGATTACGTAATTGGAATAATCACGCAACAACTCAGAAGTGATTTGAAGAATCAAGAAAGTAAAAACTACGAAGCTACCCAACTAGGTGGGTAGGAACTTAATCATAGCCACATCTTACATGAACAACGCCATAAATAGCCTCTCTTATAGAATCAAAATAGACAAGCATTCTACTTGCCTCGAGTTCTGAGTAAGACATGGCGCTTGTGCTCTGGCCCACTTGGCACTTCACCAAGTGAAAGGAACCACCTGCAGCTTCAATTATATCCAAAGCCTCATTTATCAGGAACTGGTCAAATAAGTGGCCACTCAGAGATACCTGTGAATTAAAATTACAATCAACAGTCTTTAACAAAGGAAAAGTCGAATAATGAGGTTTAGAACACAATACTAAAATGGCTTGTTTTAAAATTTCTATCTGGTATAGGAGAACAGATACATGTAGCAGGATTTAGATACCTACCAATACACTGTATTTCTTGTTAGAGTGTCCATTAGCAAGATTATCTGATATATCTCTGCAAATCAAGCAAAAAAATATTCACTTGACACATATCTATGGATCAATTTTCTTTTCTATATCCAAATATTGACACAAGTTCTTTACTAGCATATAATTGAGGCTAGAGAAGGCAAAGAAATATTGGACACAATTAAATGCTTACTCTGTGTCTGAATTTCTCATACGAGGGATATATTCATATAAGGAGGTAAGTGCTCCCCCATGGGCTATGCAAGCTCTCTTCAGGTGTGCAGGTAACTTGGAAACATCGGCTGTAGAGGCTAAACTACCAACAAACTGGGACAGAATGTCTCCAAAGTGTTGAGAAGCCTTTTCACAATTAAAAATGGCATGTTAAAGGTCATGATCAACATAAATTAGATAGACTATAATCCCAAAACTTGTTCATTCTATACTACCAAGGGAACCAGAACGTTTTCAAATTTTTTTCATTGAAACAATGGGTTAAATATCGCACCTCTTTTGCAAACTCAGTTGGGAGAATATCAACAGCTGAACATAATATTCCATTACCCTCCATGTCATGATGGTAGGAATCGGTTAAGGGGTCATATCTGAAAAACACCATTGATCATATTATCCACAAATCTCAAGCTACAGAACATAATATTTGTAGAAAAAAGAGAGATGCAACTTAGAAGCCAGCAATAAGATATGGAATGATGTGAAGCACAAACCATATTCTGTACATAAAATCAAACAACAATCAGCAATATGATAAAATTATGCCCATATAGATAATCTGTACATTGTTCAATAATGTTAAAATTATATGAGAAAAGCAATAAGGAAGATTACAAACTTTTCAAAGTGAACTCTCAGAATGTTCTGTGATAGACGGTTTCAGTTTCCAGACATTTCTAAAGGTCTCAATCAATTTTATTTTTTCTCTTATGGAGTAATAAAGATCATATTGGTTGACCCACTGGTACTTCCTTATTTGACTTGATCCTAAGTTATTAAGAATTACATCTCTTCATGCTCAGTCTACAGGAGTAAAAAAAGAAATAGAAAAAAGATCACATCTAAAACATCACACTGAATTGGGATTTGACACCCATGGTAAAGTTTCAGCTTCAGACGTAAAAACATCATTGAATGTGAACAAGACAAACTGGTCAACAACAAAAAAGAAAGATTCCATGATCCTCCACTTTCAAAGTAATGCTTTTATTTTTTATGCTAATGGGGCAGGATGACGACAGAAATAATGGGATTGTTTGGAATACTTTACTGTCTATGGTTTTTATCCTAATAGTGGGATTGTTTATAATGTTTAAGGTTTGTGCATGAATATGAATACTTTATAGATTTCATTAAAAAAAAAAGAATATTTCATAGACAAGATGAACTTTTTGATGGGTAAAATGCTTCTATAAAATGAGGCAATATGTATCAGATAATGCATTTGAAACATGAGATCAAACTAGCATTAGAATACCTGAAGAAAGGTAAGTCTATTGACGTAGTTTCATTAACAAACTCTATTGAGCCCCCTACATCACAAGTTATATCAGAGATCCCAACAAGTGGACATCCTTTCCTCATTAGATCTTGAAGCTGCTGGGTACTCAACAACCGAGGAAATCTTTTCTCCCAATAAATGCAATTGACTGCCACAGAGTACATTTTCAGTGATTTATTCATTGAAACTAATTCCAAACAAAAGTGCAACAAGTATAATATGCACCAAAACTAAAATCTTCTTGCGAATAGAACAAGAATGTTGTTTACTTGCTAAGAGGAAGGATTTAAAGCCAAATTCAGGTCTCGTACTAGAATCAAGTTTTTAAAGTTCCAAGTTCAACCACAGCATATTGGGACTGGGAAAATTACAAATGCCGGTCCCTTCTCATTTAAGCTTTCATTAACTAGCATGTTTACAGTTTAAAAAGTGCAAATCTCTAAATATAATAAGTAAGGAGAAACAGTATTTGCCTTAAAAATATATTGTCAGCAGAGAAAGCATCACCTACCAATTGCTGATGCATATGGGGCTACTTTTTCATGGAAAACGGGGTTGTAATGCTCTGGATGTGCATAATAATCTGCCTGAAAGTTGAAAAGAAAAGGAAAAAAAAACCCTAAGCTTAGCACTATTTTTCAAACAGTTTGAACTCAAAATGTCAAACCAAAAACAGAAAGGAGGGATTACTTTATCAAATATTTTTGAAGGATCTTTGTGCTCAACCATGTCCCGACTAGTCACAACACAACCATAAACTTGAAAGACCCTCTTTGATGTTCGTGCTGGTGAATTAAGATTCCTTACCTGAGAATATGAGAGCAGCATAAAAAAAGTGAGAAAAAAATTAAATATACAAAGATAAGAATACCCTTTAATAGAGATATATGCCACTACAAGAATAAAAAGGAGTGCTAAAATGGAGACTAACCTTCCCAAAGAGTTCTGGAAGTCTGCTTGGTTCAACAAAAGTATGAGGAAGAAGTTTAAATATCTCTTGTGCACCATGAGAAACTGCAAAGGAAAGGGAAGAGGGGAGAGAGAAAATTTTATATGCAAATGTGAGGAATTTCATGGGATTTATCCCAAAAATGAACACTAAAGGAAAATTTAAAACAAAAAGAAAAATTTTGGTATTAGCAATTTAAACTGATATATTGAACAAATGATGAAAACAAGTTTACACAAGAAGTATCTAATGACATCAAATGAATGCAAACTCTGAAGCACCACAACAGACATGTATTCTGACTGAGGGTCACATTATTGAGTGTTGTGTTGACATGTTATGAATGGCTGACAAAAAGAACATCCTGAGAAGTTTTATACCATTTCCAGAACCGGTGAATACAAAGACTAGAGGACATATTCCTGATGGCAGTCCCTGAGATGCTATCTCTTCACCCACAGAGATCACTGCAGCCTTTGCAGCAGCCAACGAGGGATACATATAAGATGCACCCAGAGAGAGTAAAGGTGTTGAATATCCAAGACTTAGGTACCCTGAAATTTGTTAAAGGAAAGTGTAAGATTACAATAAACTTTTCAGCATCTTCACACAGAAAAAGGGTTTCGTGTGATCCAAATAAGAGAAAAGAATGTTGTCGGTTCACTTTAAGAAAGATCAACAATCATCTTCCTCTCATCCAAACAGCAAACAACAACCAGTATGGCTAATTTCTTTACTCTTGAATGACTAGGTTAGAATAGATTACTATCATACTGATTAAAGATAACATTAACACACACGAAAAGAAAGAATTCTAATGTGTATCATGCACCTACTTTGAGCCCAGTCTAAGAAAAACAATACAGATTATAAAATCTCCATCAGTTTAAAATGAGCAGGGATATTCCAATAAAGCAACATTAGAAAAGGATTAAGGGTGATGGACCATACGCTGTCCTAATCCACATAAGAAATCAATTATTCCTGCTCTGCCAGCATATTTGCCAAATGCAAGTAACCTTTTACCATGGTCCCCAACAATAAGCTCATAGTCATACAATGATACCCTCTTCGCCAGAATCTACATGCCATAGAAAAAGTCAGCAGAGGAAATTCAACATTCATTTGATTTATTGCCAGCTTTCCATAAAGATACAAAAGAATGTTACCTTCTCTAACAAAGGCATGTTTTCTTTCTGAGCTTTGTGAGTATGTGAGAAGAAGGCATAAGCTCTATCAGGAAGAATCATGTCTAGCTGCAGGCAAAGCCAAACAGTTATTTTGGAGTTCCCAAGCCTGTGGCTAATATGAAAATTGAAAAGTAAACTGTAGGGAACTTTAGCACCTTTGGCTGCTTGATACCCAAAATTAGACCACATGTTGACAAGTCATCTGATATGTCACAACCAACATCCTCATAGAGTGAATCATGATGGATGCGTTTTGTAGACGGCTGCACAACTATACGGGCTACTCCAGTTTTTTCCCTCCCACTGTGTAGAAGTCGAGCACAGTGTGATGGGGTTAGAGGAACCCTTCTTTCCCATTTATTCACAGACTCGGAAAGGATTCCAACAACTCCATTCCCAAGCATCTTATACCTTCATCAGCAAGAAAAATCAATAATTAGCACTATTACCTACGCGATAACTTACTTGTTTCTTTATAATGCAAGTGGACAAAAATTAAAAAGTCACTTCTTTATTAGCCCTTTTGCTTCAAAGTATGCTTCTTTGTACAACTAAAAATCCCACAGTAAATACTAATCAAAGTTTGAAACTGATTTATTATGCACAAAATATAAAATTGCTCCAAACAACTATACCTTTTCGTCTCTCATTCAAGAAAACAGTTCTAAGTATGATTTTGAGAGGTTAAAAAATTCAACTTGAGAAAAGACACAAATACGAAACGAAAATTTCCATGACGGTTCACCACTTCACGTAATTAGAACTCACTAGGACAGGCTAATAGGGGTAAGATTAAAAAAAGAAACAGAGAATGAAGAAAATAAAACTTACTTGTAACCGAAGAATTAAACAATGGGTATGAACCGAAATCCAAGTAGCGATCAAACAATTCTGAAAAGAACAGATCTCAGTCAAGAGTAGAGAATAAAATCCCTGCAAACATTTACACACATGCCTATCATCAGAATACAAAAGATCCAAAACTCCTAGCCCGGATAGAACAAACAACTCATTTTCATTCCTAGAATAAATAACTATGACAATAAAGAAAAGAAAGTTGAAACAGAGGAACCACTTTACTTTCAAAAGAAGAAAAACTGTAGTAGTAAAATAACATGGGGCATCCAGCACCCTGGAATCCTGGAAGAGCTGCCCTACGAAGCCAGAGGAAAATACTGATACAGACTAGGCAATGCAGAACAGAGATGCAAATAAAAACATCCATTTTTTCTTCTTTTTTTTAATGTTTTTTTTCTTTTTTTGTTATTATTAATCAACGATATGTTAAGGCACGTATCTCGAATCTGGCTTGTGAATCAATGGCTGAATTATCAATTTTTTTGTTTCTTTCTTTTTGGCGGTGGAATTGATGATAAGGATACGACGCTAAGAAGAGACGAGGGGAGTCGCACCTTCGATTTGTATACATTCGAAACATCCAATCGAGAGGGGCCACGTATATTACTTCGGAAAGCTTAGTTCGATAAACATGTTACCACTTTTTGCCTCTTGGCACAAGTTACCTTGTAAGAACAGTTCCAGCCGATCACGTCTCCGAAGTCGGAAGACCAAAAAAAAAAAATCATGAGAAAAAATGTCATGCTTTTCTTCTAACTAAAACATTAATGAATGAAGGAAAATGGACGCTTTCCAGCTTTAATTCTTTTTTTCCCCTTCGTTTGGCGTTGAACGGTAGGTATAGCGCCAAATTCAATTGAATTTTAGAGCGTAGGGTATAATTTTGGTAGCGGGAGAGTTTTTTATTTGTTTTTAATGGTTTCTCCGATGGATGATAATAATTTAAATTAGATTCGATTTAATTTTTTAGATATTATATGATATTATAAAAATTTAAATTTTAATACAAATTTGAATTTGAATTTTTGTTCAATTCGAATCGAATCAAATTAAATTTTTTCGGTTCGATTCGATTTGATTTATTAAATTTTAATTTTTTATATTATTTTAATATAAAATTTTAATATATTTAAGTAGATTTTGATAAAATTTATTATTTTTATTTTATAAAAATTTAAAATATATATTAAAATTAAATATATATATAATTCGATTCAATTCGATTTTTTTTTACCTATCGATCCAAAATTTAATTTAAACTTAATATATACATTTAATATCCAAACTTAATCCGAATCGAATAAAAAAAATCAATCTAATTCAAATCAAATACTACAATTTCAAATCAATTTTCGAATTTTTCAATTTTTTTCCTCATCCCTAATCTCCTTTATCAAATGTGATAATATTGTTAAATTTTTTAGTTTTTATGATATAAAATATTTAATTTAATTTAATTGATTTATATAATTATTTTAAAAAAAAATATCTAATATATTTAAATTTTATATTTATAATCTTTTTTCATGTTTTTAAAACACATATAATGTTATATTACAATACACGTAATAACTTGATAACGTTTACTTACATTGAAGTTTAGGTTAATCGTTCTCTTTTTCACATGTAAAAATTTTTTAAAATTTTTCCTATGACATACAAGATATTTCTTAATTTTAATATATTAATTAAAAAGTATTTAAAAATTATTTAATTATCCAAAAATTTTAAATTTTAATAAAAGATCAATTCAATTATTTTTATATTGTTAATAACAAAATCTAATTTAAATATATTATTTTTTAAAAATGTATTTCTAAAAAATCTAAATATATATCTTTTTCAATTTAAAGTTTTCAAATATAGTGATATATTATCTTTTAAAAGTAGGTTTCTTAATAATATAAATACAAATTTTTTAAATCTAAAAATCTTAAAGGTAGTGATATTATAAAATAGATTTCTTAACAATTAAAATATATGTCATTTTAAGTTTAAAATTTTAAAATATAATTTTTTATTTTTAAAGATTTTATAATAATTCTTTATTATTTGATAATTTTTAAATTTAAAAAAACCAAATATGACATGCATTAAAATATAACTTATTCTTTAACTATACTATCAATATTAAGTTTATTTCTTTATTTTTTTTTTAACATTTATGCTTGCAAAGAAGTGGCTTTTTAAGAAATGAGATGCACAAAATTTTTTATTATATTTTTATAACTTTTTAATATATGAGATGCATAATTTTTTTAATTATATTTTCATATTCTGTGTATCCACATGTTAAAAAGCTAAAATCAATATTTTTATTTTTAAAATTTTTATGAAATTTTTGGATATTTTATTTGTTTAGAGTGTACGTGTAAACCTTATAAAAATTCTTTTATGATTTATGGAGATTGGAGTGAGGGAAAAAGATTGATTTAGTACAATAATAACTCTTTTGAAGTATTTTGACAATTGAAGGCAAAAAATATTGATTATTTATTTATTTAGAAAATATTGTATATGCTTATGAATTGTTGATTTTATTGTGCTTTTATTTTATTATTTTTAAAATTAATAAATAAAGGCAAATGACTAAAATGTAATATTAATTCTAACATAATTGTTATATATATAAGTAAATTCACGTTTGTTTATTTGAAATTAATTTTTTATAATTTAATTCTTTATAGTATTATTGTTTTTTTTTCATGGGAGCGAAATATAAGTAGTAAAAGTAAAATGAAAATTTTTTTTATCTTTGAAATATATTATAACATCCTATAAATGAGAACCGAAACATTCCCATTTAAACTTTTTAACAACAAATTTTTAAAATAATTGTTTAAAATTTAAAACTATTTCATTTTAGCTTTTAGACAAATTTGCATCAAATTTAAAGTTTAAAATGAATATAAAAATTAATTTGAGAAATCCTATAGATGTTGAAGATTAAGATATTATTAAAACTCATACAAAAAATGTACATGTGAGTAAGCTATCTTACATGTTATTTAAACATTTAAAATTTTTATTTTTTTTAAATAAATAAAAATTATCTTAAAATTATATAAACTTGCAAGTATATAAAAAAGATTACACAAGATGAAAATGACAAAAATTAGAAAAAGTCAATTTGAAATTATGAAACTTTGAGCTTTCAATTTAATATTCTGTTAGTGTACTCGATAATACTATTTATATATAAATCTTTTGAATATTTTATTTTTCCTCAAATATTATTATATGTTTTGGATTTTTGAATTTTTTAATTAAAAATGTTAATTTTATTATATTTTGATATCTTAATTATGATTTTCATAAACACTTGATAATGTTTGTCATATAAACGCTCATGTGAATAATTTTTTTAAATGATATGTAAGTTTTTTAAAGAATATAGCTTCTTTTAGTTATAAATTGGATAATCTTGAATTTATTCAAATATCAAAATTATTCAAGTTATAATTACAAATCAAATTAATTTAGAGATATATATTTTTTTAATTAAAAATATAAAATATAGATTTTATCCAAATAATTTTAATTTTTTATCAGATAATCTTATTTTATAAATTATTTAATTATGAAAATCTTTCAACATATTTTAAAACTAGAAAGATTAAGTTTATCTAAATTTTTTTAAAAATCACTATATTCTTTTATCTTAATTTGCATCAAACAAAAAATATTTTCTAAAAATTTTACATAAAATATTGCAAATTCAAGTAGTATTTTTATATTAAATCTCTAAATAATAAGACCTATATTTATCTCTACTCAAATTATTAATTTTATATTTAAAAAATAGGTAAGAAATTTGATTTAATTTTTATCACTTATTATATCATTTTAATTTTTTTTTAAATATCAATTTGAAAATTATCTATTCAATCCTAAATGTCATCCAAGAGTTATTTTACAAATAAAAGACTATAAATGTTATGTGTTATATATATATATATATATATATATATATATATATATATATATATATTGGTTTGTAGTTTTTTGGAATCCTATTGATATTGCAACTTATATTTTTGGTTTGCATTTGTCTATTTTTCAATGTATATTTTATTGCTATTACAAGTTTGTTTTTATGAAAATTAATATTTTTTAATTTATTTTTCTTTCTTTTTTCATACATCTCTTAAGATTTTTCATATTTTGCATAGTAATTGAACAAGATTACAAAAGTGAAAGTATGCTTAGACTTTTTTATTATTTAATTCATTATTTGATACGATATATATTTTTGTCTTTTTAAGAAATACATGTAATTTATTTTTATTTGATATAATTTTAGGTTTATAAATATTGTTGCAAATAAATATGATGCAAAGTGTAGACATGCCATTTTCTTCTTATTTTTTTAAAAAATTATTTTTTATAACAAGTTAATTGGATATAAAATTTGATATATGTTTTAAATTTTGAAAATTTGAATACAAAATTAAAAAAATACTAAGTTATATACATATATACATAAAATAAATAAAATTATTTTGTAAATCGCATAAGTCACAATATAGTGGGAGATAGAAAGAGAAAGATGTAAGACATGATAAATATTATTAAAATCAGTAACTGACAAGTGAAAAGACCGGTAGTTCCATTTATTACATGACATGCAACTCCATTTTATTCTAATGCTTTGATATATTCTTTTTATTTGAAAATTTAGATATGGTTTTTTTTTTAATTTAAATTTAGAGATAAATACATAAAAGTTTATTTAATGGAATATCTATAACAACTAATTAAAGATAAAATAAAATATAATATATTTATTTATTTACTTGAACCAAAATGTTCAACACAATTCATTATGTTTTTGCATAAAAAACAACAATTAAAATTATTAATACAAAGATGGTCAAATTATGCCTATTATAAAATTTTATCCATTTTGAAATTTTATAATATTTTCTAACAATTTTATTTTTAAAAGCAAGTATCTATGCATAATAGAAAAACTATCCATTTATCTTAATTAACGCCCAACTCATATTTGTCTTTAAAAATAAGTTCAAGGTTAATTTTGAAATTAAAAAAAATTGATGAAACATAAAGAAGGCTTTAGATTACCATGAAAAAAAAAAAAAAACAAAAAAAAAAAAAACAGGAGATCAGGAAGAAGAAGAAAAAAGAGCTTCTTTCCCATTGTAATTACTTTCTCCTATAGTTTGAATGCATCCACCGATCGATATGATTTTTCTTATTGTTTCATATTGTTTCATTTTTTTTTATTTTGAGATTTTTTATTTGTTTTTGCTTTTTTTTTCCTTTGCAAGAGATTAAGAGACAACATGCATGGCTCTACTGTTTGATTGTTTGCACAACAGTACATTTTTCACATTGTTTCATTTTTTTATTTTGAGATTTTTTTTATTGTGCAAAAAATTGAGAAAAGGCATATGTCTATGCAAAAAAAGTTATTTTTGCTTCAAAACATCTTTATTTTTTCCTTTATCCTTATCTTTAACTTTGATTTTATAAATCTTAGATGAAGTATGGATTTTTTTATATAGGGATTGTTGTAAGACGT